AAATTTTTTGTTTGTTTATTGCTAACTAAGTAATTATCAAAAAGAGTTATCTATTTGTTATTTAATATTATATTTCTTCTAACTATATTTTATTTATTTAAATATAGATAAGTTTTTAATTACTTTAATAAGTTTAAATTATAAATAAACTAGTTTAAGCTTTTATTATTATATATAATTTTTATTGTTATATACTTTGTATATAAAGATTAGTAACTAACTGCAGTTACTATTTTAAAAAAATACAAATAAAGGTATGTGCAAAATCTTAATACAAAAAAAAATACAAAAAAAATTTTATTTTAATATTAAAAAAAATAAAATACAATATATTATATAAAGATAAAATTTTATAATTACTTTTTTTTCAAAACTTTAAATAAAACTAATTTAAACAAACTTAGCCAAATTTAATTAAATTAACTTTATAAACTTATTAATTTAAAAACTTTTTATCAAATTCTAGTTTATTAAATCTTTTATTAAAGTTTTAACTTGGTTTCCATTGACTTCTTCTCATATATAAATTTTTAAGCATAATCTATATTTAAATACTTATTTTATATACTAAATAACTTAAAAAATTTCCAATATATAGTTATATAATGTGAATTACATATTCAAACATATATTGTCTGAATCATCATATTTAATAAAAGATATAAACTTTTTTTAGAAAAATTAATAGCCAAAATCAAAATTTTAATTGAGTTAAATTTTATTGCATTAAGTTCGTACAATTGTAACCTAACGGTCATAGTCGTTATTTGCCATAATTGGTGTTCCAAAAAGCACAACTCATAACACTAATCGACCATTTATTTAACTTGAAAAAATATATTTAACAATAAAACAAAAATAGAACTATCAATTTTAAATTCAAAAACCGGACTAGAGATTAATATTTGACTGTTCGTGGAATTCATTAATGAAATTATGTGTCTTTTTTTTTATAATACGCTTAAAAAATTATGTTCTAATAATATTCGGCTCGTAATTTTTCAAAAGGTGCCAGGATTTTTTCGTTTTCGACATGGAAATTGTTTCGTCAAACAACTATAATACATTGAGTTATTCGGAATAGAGACGATGGAAATAGAGAGATAGAATCACCATTTATTTATAAAAAATTCGACCTAATCGATTTTTGCTTAAATGCTTTGTTAATGTATATATTGCATTATTAACTAAAAAAAATATATGATGAAATTTATATTCGACAAATACGTGAAAATAAACTTTATGATCTAAACACAAAACATCATTCCATCAAAGTTTGCACCCAAAATATGAGATATAGAATTAATTTCTTCGGCCAATTCGGCATTCCCATTTTCTGATATCATATTCATTTTCTTGCTGTTTCTTACGGATTTCCAATTATCAGCAACAAAGTTAAAACCCGCTATTTTAAATTGTAGATCGTCGTTTTCCCAACCAAAATTACATATTTGATCCCAATTATTAATATTCAGCATTCCACAAATTTTATTGCTGACCATTTTTTTCAATCTATTTAATCCCATCATATCAGCTTTAGCATACATTTCTATCAACAAGTCAAGATCGATTATATCCATCCACTTCTCAGTGTAAATATAAAATAAGATTCCCCGAAAAGTTTTGTAAGTAATATCGTGAAATTTGATACATAGAGTATTCTTTTCCTTCCAGCCGCCTTTAAACATTTTTTCAAAGTAATCAGATCCACCAGCTAAAATGACTTTATGAGCTTTGATACGAGCCCCGCAGTCCAATTCAAATTCGATATCCGAAAAAGATGGATCTTCAAAGAATTTTTCATTGCCAGTAGTATAAGTATAATAAAGGTTCCTTTCCTCGTTGTTATCTTGGTCGTTGTCATCATTTATAATATTAACATGAAAGATTAGAACGATCTTTTTTGATTTATCAGCTTCATGCTGAAAAATTTTATTAGAATAACAAAACTTTGTAAAACCCCAATCAACATCGCCATCAAATTGAAATTCATGATTCATGAACCAATTTTGATTACATAGATCGAATATTTTTGATGGCTGACTACTTACAAGATCCAATTTTTCGAGCCGAAAATTGAATCTTATTCGTCGCGATGAAATGTTGTGAAATTGTTCGTATGGAGTCTGGATTGCTTCAAGGTACAAACTTAAATAATCATTTATCGCATTGCCGTTCCCGTTCGGATAAAGTTTTAAACGCCAGGAACCAGAATAATTATTCCAAAACGGGGGACTGTATACATGTTTGCCGATACATGTCTTTTCTTTGAGCTGTTGAAAGTTCGAAACTTTCCAGCTGTAAGTTGTTATAAACGGAGTAGGATTTGTTACTGAAGATGATTGATCGAATGTTTCCTTGGGCATTTATATAAGAAAAATTTTTGATTTGTGATATTTAAACGAAGTTTCGAGTAAAAAATTGACCAGTAAGAATGAAATTAAAGAGTTCGCATTTCAATGCATCGATCACTTTATAAATGAAGTAAGGTAAATCAAATTGGGAATATGACTAAGCCCCCAATAAATTTGGGCTATTAAAAGTCGGAACTTAATAAAATTAGCCAATCAGTTTGCATGATAGGCAACGCACATGAAATAATTTTACATAAAATTGTTCTTATCGTTATAACGATAACGATGAATTACTGCAAGGTTAGTAAAGTCTGAGACTTCCAGGTTTTATCATGTGAACTTATAAACCGAACCCTCACGTGATAATATCTAGAATTTGATTAGATTCAAAGCAAAAAAGTTCCAAAACCCATGCAACTATCGCTATAATCTGTTATTACATTTACTGGCTAGAAAGTTCTTGTCATATTAAAATTACAAGCCGGGGTAAATTCCAAACTCACGTGAAACGCATACGTAATCACGCTTTTAATCGAATTTGATGTACAATATTTTGAAAAATTCTATAACATGGTTTCGAATACTTCATTAGTTTTTCACTTCTTTCACTTTAAATCTTAGAAAAATTGTTGACAACTATATGAATAACCGAAAAAATAAGCGACATGGATTTAATGGACTGTTAAAAATATGATCGTTCTGTTTTTACAGACCCATGAAGTGAATAAAAAACCCAAATTTTGGTATAGGGTTCTTGAAGCTTTTAAATTAATTGAAATTGGAATTATCGATGAATTAAATGTCAAATGGGATAAAAGTAACCGCGACACTTAAGTTCGTATTATGAAAACTTTTATACCGTTATTTGTCAAAATAATGTATTACCAATTTAACCAAAAATTTTGTAAATAAAGCTGCTTCTATAATAAAAGTAATGCTTTTATACTTTCTATTGTGGTTGCGTTCGTTGATCTACATACAAAAATCATTAAGTTCGTTCTTGTGCAAAACATTAAGGTGAAAGGGAAGGTGTACTGTAGCTAATTTGGTTTATCTCGTGATCTAGTAATCTTAACGTTAATACTATTCGATTCGTCTCATCGAATCGAATGGTGGTTAGATCATCCAATTCGATAACGAGATATTAACGATTATATGCAACACATAAATAATCTTAAGGGAATTACGATGAAATGCAAACTTGGCTATAAGGTAGGTGACTTTTAGTACTATAAAAATCGATCTTCACGTTCTAAGTAAATTTGTTCAAACTATCAAAATACGTATATACTAAAGTTTTGATAAATTTAGACAACTTATTAATCGGCGTTTAAAAATACTTTGCTACTAAAAAAATTAATTTTTTTCGTAGAAGCGTATTTTGCAAAAGTCAATTAATAAAAAGTGATCAAAATTTCAGAGTATACTTATTTTGATATTCTGAACAAGTACTGAAGTCACTTACGTTATAGCCAAGGTTGCATTTCGTCATAATTCCCTCAAGATTATTTTTGTATTTGCATGTTTGCATATAATCGTTAATTTCTTGTTATCCAGTGATAATAATTGGATGGTCTAACCACCATTCGATTCGTCTCGATGAGACATCGAATGGCATAAAAATTATCCAATTTGGATTACTAGATCACGAGATAACTAACTTTTTTGTATGACATGCAACTCTAATTATTGTTTTTCAAACCAATTTACTATATACTGTATATTACCAATTTTTATAAATAATTCTAAATACATATATAATTTAAATTTTAAAATTTTTATAATAAAATAAAATAATTTTTATATTAATTTTTTTAACTTTATTAAAATATTTTTTTTATTTTGTATTTTAAGAATTTTTTATTTTAACTTAAGAGTAGAGAGTATTATTTAAAATTATATATAAACTTAATATATACTGTAGTAAATTTTTTATATTTAATTTTATAAAAAATTTTATTAAGTAAACTAACTTTAATTTTTATATAAAGTTTAAGTAGGCTTTTCTAATTTTAATAATAGTAAATTTATTAAAATTAGGGTAAAAAGTAAAGTTTTAAATATTAGATATAAAATTTTAATATTAAAATTAGGTAATTTCTATTTAAACACCAGTGTATGAAACACAGATATATAGAAAACCAATCAGATTGCTCAGGTGTAACATCAAATTATTAATTTTTAAAAATTATTTATAACTTAAAATTTCACTTATAAACCTATCTTTTTAGCATTAATAAAAAAAAGATAATTTCTATTTGGATACTAGGTATATTAATACTTGATTATACAAACAAATAGAAAAGCCAATCAAACTATTTGATTAAATGCATATTGTAGATCATTTTTTGTGCAATAATAATAAAGCAAAAAACAAAAATCAATGATATCTCAAAATTTTGTATATGAAACTATTCTTGGAGCTTTAAGAAAAAAAATTTCTTGCAAAATTTTAGTATAAACTATAACCTGTTTCAATATTAGCTTTCAATATTAACTTTAATATTAGTTAAATTATATTTTATTTATTTGTTTATTTTGATAAAAATTAATTTGATTTACATATTACACAGACTCTGTGTTTCAAACACCAGGTGTTAAATTAGTAAAATTCTAAAAAAATTTTTTGTAAAATTTTGACATAAACTATTTATTTATTTTATTATAAGCCTATTTTTACTCTAGCCTTAGATAGTACTTAGCTTTTATTTATTTAATCTATTTTGATTTGTATATTACAGAAATCTGTATATTAAATCTGTATATTATATATTATGAATATATTCAAAAATTTTTATAAAATTATTTTATAGTTTATATAAAATAGTTTCTAATTTTTTTAACTTAAGTAGTTATGTCAGTAAGTATACATTATTAGGCAAAATTTGGTGAATAACAGTTATTTGGCTCAACTGGGCAAATGATTGGCTGGCACGTGCTGCAAAGTGGCATGTGCCAGACAATCATTGCCTAGTTGAGTCAAATAACCGTTGTTCACCAAATTTGTCTAATAATGGTGTCAGTATATAAATCAGATCTCTTTTCTGAAAAAAAAAAAAAACCGATTTTATATTTTTTTGTTGTGCCTTATTTCTACAAGTTTGAGAATACGGATTACAAGACTTTCTAGTTGTTGTAAGTTGTATTGAGTGCAGTATGTGATTGAAATATTTAAAAACCTAAAAACTTTCACCTGACGGTTTAAGAATTTTACTTGAACGTATCTAAGGAAATGCCAAAATCAAAATCTGAAGTAGCAAAAAAAGTTTCTGCGAAAGTTTTTGCAGAAAACCCTGTGAAGGTTCCTGCAAAAGTCTCTGCAAAAGTCTCTGCAAAAGTCCCTGCAAAAGTTCTTGCAAAAGCCTTTGTAAATGTCCTTGCAAACATCTCTGCGAACATTCCTGTGAATGTTTCTGCAAAAGTCATTACAAATATCTCTGCGAACGTTCTCGTGAAAGTGCTTGCAAAAGTCTTTGCAAACGTCTCTGCAAATGTCCTCTCAAATGTCTCTCCAAACATCACCACAAAGGTCCTGGCAAAGGTAAACTTTACTTTGTGTTTTATTTCTGTTTTTTTTTTTATTAAAAAAAACTGATTAATAATTACTTTAGTGAGTTAAGTACAAAGAACCATCTGTGGAAGAATTAAAGCAATTCGGAAAGACACGAAAGTTCAAGCCATGTATAAAGCAACAGAACAGTGGATTAAAGCATTAGAGAAGTTTCGTTCTGAAGTTGGATATGTGGGAAAAATTGAGGAAATCAAATCAAAGATGGTCTTAGAAGACCAACTATTTAAATTCGTATATGCAATGAAACGACAGGATAGAAAGGATTATTGTGCAACCTAAACAAGGTGCTGTCTTGTAGCTATTTGGCGTTATCTTAACCAGCATTCTGTAATAAAAAAACTCGTTAACATTCTGAATCCTAAGGTTTACTTTGAATTAAACTAAGTAATAAATGGAAAAATAAAGAACCTTTCAGCAAAAGGCTTGGGAGAACGTATTGGAGCTGATGGTTTGACATTAGATGAAGTGAAATGTATTTTTGACCACCCAACGATGCAATGTAATAGTTCTGAAGGATTATTATGACAGATTTTTTTTTATAATACAACTCTATTGGCACTAAGGAGGGCAAACATCAAAGTCTCCAAATAAATAACTTCGTTAAAAGACATAGACTTTAAATTATACAAATTAAAGACGAATCAATGTAAACTTGAAGACTATGATGCGCAGGCGGAGGTAACAGTTTACCAAACATTAAACATATTATTAATGATTATGAATTATATTTTACTCAGCGCCCAGTAATGTCAGTGACAAATTTTTATTTAAAACCTGTGTCAATAAATTCTGGTAAGTTTTATTAGGAAAGCATATGATCAGTAATTATATACGTAGTACTAATATATTTTTTTTATTTTAAGTAGAATTCACTGGAAATTGGTTTTACTAATGTGCATTGGGTAAGCGAACATTGAGAGAGTATTTTCAGACCATATGTGAAGCTATAGGTATCAATATTGGAATGTGCAACATATTAAATCACTCTGGAAAAAAAACTGCAGTGCAGTTATTAAAGGAGTTTGAATACTCAGATTCTTCTAAACCACCTTAAGGCCTCATACCTCAAGGAGAAACTAAACAATCACAATGTTTTTAGTGTGGAACA